CTGGAATATGCCTAGTGTAGCCGGAGACAATCTAGATGTCATGTAGAAGAAATTGAAGAAAATAAATAAATATTTAAAAGGATTGGGGTGGGGGGGGGGGAGGAATTTGAGGGGGAATAAAGTTGAATGGATTGAAGAATTGGAACGCTTGGAGGTTCTAGAGGAATGGCAATTTTTAACCAAAGAGCAAATGGCTAGGAGTTTCTTGCAAACTCAATATATACACATTGCTGGAAGAAGAGGAGGAATATTGACAAAATAGATCTAGTGAAAATTGTCTACTCAAAGGGGATAACAACACTACCTACTTCACAGGATTGTTAATGGGAGCAAAAAAAATCCTCTCAAAAAAAATGATCAGTTGTGATACAGGGGACACCTGCTTTAGTAAATCATGCAACTGGCTATTATAGCTTTGGCCCCGTTGTGGGATTCCACTGTAGGCCGAGAAGGATGTTTGGTTAGAGAGAAGAGAAATGTTATCTGTGGAAGACAATGAATGGCCAGTAGGCCTTTCTGTGAAGAGGAGATCAAGGCGGTGATTGATGGGATGAAGAAAACAAAGCTGCATTTTGCGATGGATTTCCTATAGAATTCTATCAAGTCTGCTGGAGTTTTATCAAGTATGATGTCATGATGTGCTTCCATGACTTATGTGAAGGAAGGTTGGAATTGTCTAGAATCAATTTTGGAATCATTACATTGTTACCTAAGGGGGCTAAGGCAGATACCATACAAAAATCCAGATCAATCTGTCTCCTGCGTGTTATTTCAAGATGTTCCCAAAAGCTCTAGATGAAAGGTTGAAACCTTTCATGGAAAAAATGATATCCAGGAGCCAAAATGCTTTCATAAAAGGAAGAAATATTATGGATGGAGTGATGCCTTTGCATGAGATATTGTATGATGCAAAAGTAAAGAAACAACAATGTGTAGTGTTAAAACTAGATTTTGAGAAGGCCTATGTAAAGGTTAACTCGGAGTTCGTGTTCCAAACATTGGTACAACGAGCTGCTATACAAACGTTTTTTAACCCCTTTCCGCTCGGCATTTTAAACCGTCGCCTTGTGAGTGTGGGTGATAGGAGGGTCTTTCCCACACGACTCAGATACCGTCGGGGATAGGCCCTCCGGTCACACACGCTGGGCAAAATGAGCTCATGTGCGATCGGGCGAGCGATCACATACAATTATACATGCCCAATCGTTTTCGTTTGTAAGTACATCCCACACACTCAGTCCCAGACAAACGTTTTCGTTCGTATGTACATTCCACATAGTCAATCCAAGGAATACGTTTTTGTTCAAATTTACATCTCACACATTCAATCCAAGAAGTACGTTTTCGTTCTTATGTACATCTCACACGATGAATCCTAGACAAACATTTCCGTTCGCACGTACATCACACACAATTTCTCCATCAAATCATCTGTGATAGCGTTGCTATTGCAGACAGTATTAACAATTTTATCATTTGTGTTATTGAATTCATTACGCACTGTGCATAGAAGAAACTGCATGGCATAGGCTGTCCATCACACACACTTTTTATGTGGAAAACGTTTGCGCAAGGTGGCCTAACGCAAATAGTTTTTCGGAGGAAGTTGTGTGTGGTTGTTCATTGATCCAACACGTTTTCTTCCTAGAAACTGTGTGGGTTGTCTGAAGTCATCGCTCACGATGTTGTCTCAATAACCGTTTGGAATAGAAAAACCCAATAAGCATGCTAATTGGCCTATTATTAATAATTTATTTATTAATCAAGATTGACATTTCATATTAAGCACACAATATATTTTATTTTCGTATTACAGAAACATGATTTCATAATTGTAATACATTAGAGTACATATAGCTTCAACACTTAGTTACACCATATAGGCATATAGCTAGCTACCCCAATACACAACTGCACTAGCACCAAGTTTCACATGCAACATCTATAACCTTTGGAAATTAGCGTCATAGGCGATAGATAGAGAGATGAATCTCATCTGAAAAACTAATGAAGCGGAAGGCGAATATTGAGCCTTCATTTATGTTGAAGGTCCTTGCAACTTTAGGCCTGTCACTGTGGATGATTGACCGTCCATCCTTCGTCCTCTTGAGGAAGACTTCAATATTGTACCATAGGTGTTGTAGGAAGACTTCCCCATGACACAATAATCAAGCACACCCCTGATGAAACATACAAAGAGGATATCCAACAGCTCTAATGTCGCTCCCTGTGGCTCCAATGGCGCTTCCCGTGGCTGATACATCCATCTCGCATCATGTTTTCCTATTATTATTTATAATGTTTTTATGCATAATAATCAATATTCTAAATAGCGGGCTATGGAAAATAGTGGCGAGCCTCCAAATCAGCTATAACGGGCTATTTGTGAAGGCGACCATTTAGCGGCACCCTGTTGAAAAGGCTATAGCGGAGTTATAGCCGGCTATTTAAAACTATGATAATAATGCTTTTTGAAGTATTTCTAATGCCTTTTCTCTCATAATATGCAAGGTTTGCACAAAGAGTGCCGGCAGCTGGAATTATGGACCTGAAAAAGCTACGTCAGAGTTACATATTTTGCACATCTCCAAATGAGATGAAAATTTATGGAGAATTGTTTTGCAATATATGAAAAATACTGGAGCAAATAACTACTAGAGGAGTACCACCAGGTGGGCACAACCCACCTGGGTGCGCCAGGCCCCCAGGCGCACTATGGTGGGTTGTGCCCTCCTCGTCACACCTCCGATGCCCATCTTCTGGTATAAATGTCATTTTGACCTAGAAAAAAAATTAGAGGGGAACTTTTGGGATGAAGCACCGCCGTCTCGAGGCGGAACTTGGGCAGAAGCACTTTTGCCCTCCGGCGGAGCGATTCAGCCAGGGGAACTTCCCTCCCAGAGGGGGAAATCATAGTTATCGTCATCAACAACAACTCTCCCATCATTGGGAGGGCCATCTCCATCGACATCTTCAACAGCACCATCTTATCCCAAACCTAGTTCATCTCCTGTGTTCAATCTTTGTATCGGAACCTCAGATTGGTACTTGTGGGTGACTAGTAGTGTTGATTACATCTTGTAGTTGATTACTATATGGTTTATTTGGTGGAAGGTTATATGTTCAGATCCATTATGCTATTTAATACCCCTCTGATCTTGAGCATGATTATCATTTGTGAGTAGTTACTTTTGTTCTTGAGGTCACGGAGAAGTCATGTTGCAAGTAATCATGTGAATTTGATATGTGTTCGATATTTTGATGATATGTATGTTGTGATTCCCTTAGTGGTGTCATGTGAACGTCGACTACATGACACTTCACCATATTCGGGCCTAAGGGAATGCATTGTGGAGTAGTTATTAGATGATGGGTTGCTAGAGTGTCAGAATCTTAAACCCTAGTTTATGCGCTACTTCGTAAGGGAACGATTTGGACCCAAAAGTTTAATGATATGGTTAGATTTTATCTTAATACTTTTCTCGTAGTTGTGGATTCTTGCGAGGGGGTTAACCATAAGTAGTAGGTTTGTTGAAGTAAGAACAACACCTCAGCACTGGTCCACCCACATATCAAATTATTAAAATAGCGAACACGAATCAAGCCAACGTGATGAAAGTGATATCGTGAAATTCCCGTGTACCCTCAAGAACACTTTGCTTATCATAAGATACTATTTTGGACTGTCCTTTGCCACAAAAGGATTGGGCTACCTTTCTGCACTTTATTTACCGTTACCGTTACTTGTCCATTACAAATTATCTTGCTATCAAACTACGTGTTACCGACTATTTCAGTGCTTTCAGAAAATACCTTGTTGAAAACCACTTGTCATTTCCTTCTACTCCTCATTGTGTTCGACACTCTTACTTATTGAAATGACTAATATTGATCCCCTATACTTGTGGGTCATCAAGGCTCTTTTCTGGCACCGTTACCAGGGAGTGAAGCGCTCTTGGTAAGGAAAAATTTATATAGTGTGCTGAAATTTATTGTCACTTGTTACTATGGAAAATAATCATTTGAGGGGTTTGTTCGGGGTATCTTCACCTCGACCGGAACCACAATTAGTTGCCCCTTGACCTACTGCACCTACTAAAAATATTGGTTATGAAATTCCTTCGGTTATGATAGAACAACTGCTAGCTAATCCTTATGTAGGAGATGGAACTGAACATCCTGATATGCACTTGATATATGTGGATGAAATTTGTGGATTATTTAAGCTTGCAGGTTTATCCAGAGATACAGATAATAAGAAGGTCTTCCCTTTATCTTTGAAGGGAAAAGAATTGACATGGTATAGGCTACGCGATGATATTGGTTCTTGGAACTAGAATCGTTTGAAATTGGAATTTCACCAAAAAAATTATCCTATGCATCTAGTTCATTGTGATTGAAATTATATATATAATTTTTGGCCTCATGAAGGAGAAAGTATCGCTCT